AGTTCTTACATTAAGGCAAAGCTTTACAACAGAGATATACGAGTGTTGCATTTAGTATATAATTTTTTAGTCTCGTACACAGACTTAATAGTGTACATTTTTTTTTTCCTTCTGTTCTTTTCTTTCTGTTCGTTTGTTTTTTTTTTTTGGCTTTTGCTAGTTTCATCTCTGTTCATTTATGATTGAATTCAAGTTAGAAATTTTGTTTTCTTTTCTTTTTTGTATGGTTTAATACTTGTAATTTTCTTTTGTAAATTTGGCATATATTTTTTTCCCATATAAAAATGTAAGAGATAAACTATTCTGCCCGGACTTAGGTAGGAAAAGTTGAAGGCCAAAGGTAGCTGAGTACCAGGCTATAGCAAGTTTTTAAATACGTGTAGCGCATGTGGGATTTGTTGGCCAATATTAGTGCGATAACTGTACTTGGGCACTATTATATAGCAGCCAGGTATTAGCCAAATATGATTTTAGATAGTTTAGCTGGTCTAAGTTTACATATATCTAATAAATTTGTGCAAGGTTAACAAAGAAAAAAAAAAAAAAAAAAAATCTGTCACCCCTGTGATACGGACCTGTTGGTACAGACCCATTGGTTAGTGAAAGTGGCACAGAGGTCACGGGCATGCCAGTGGCATGCCAAAAGCCAAAATAGTAAAGAGGCATGCTATTTTATAAGAGTCGTCTAAAAAGAGATGTATCACATGATGACGAACCAATAAAATTCTAAGCGACAATCTATCGATTTAGATGTCTCCCGCTTTTAGTAACTGATAACAGATAATTGAAAGGACATATATATGTATGTACGTACACTTTAATTAATTTAAACTGCTGTATGCTTTGCTAATCATACGTAATATGTTTAATTTGTATTTTCACGAGTAGCCTGAACTTGTATGTACGTACATCTCCAGCATCTCAATTCTTATATGTCAATTTACTCTTTCTACAGATCTTAGATCTTTATAGTCGATCTATAATTCTAACTATGATTGATAAATATTTAAAGAACTCATAACATTAATTGTGGCAGATTATACTGAAATCCAGATTAAAATGAAATTATAGTATAAAATCTTGAAAAATAAAATTTTTTAGAGTGTATTTTTTAGGGTTAGGGGTTAGTGGTTAGGGTTAGGGTTAGAGTATTTTATATTAAACAAGTATAAGTGGGTTTTAGAAGGTTAGAAGGTTAAATAGAAAATATAGATTTCATTTTAAATTATGATCTGTGATATTAATTAGTTAATTATGTATAAGAATAGTCTGATATTCTATCCTTACTTCAGCGGTGACGGATATCAATGATAAGTTTTATGCAAAAAAAATTATTATATTTGTTGTTTCAAAGGGTCAGATTCTAACGAATTATTTTATTAATATTAAGGTTCGCTTTATAATAGAAGTAACTATAAAGATTCGAACAAAATATCTATATTTCTCAATTTATTACAAAATATTTTGTAAAAAAAAGTAAGTTATATTTTTATATTATGACTCACAACTATATACCTATTCTGATAAAAAAAAAAGGAAATTACTTTATATTTAATAAGAAGAAACTTCTTATTGTACAATTTAAATTTGAAAATATATATCATCGATTGACCAATCTTCAACACTATTAGCAGGTCTTTGATAATAAGTCACCAAGTTTTCATTATCTGTTTCTATTTGATTCTGTTCGAATGTATCAGCATTAAAAAAAGTATTTATTGCTAACTTATTCTCATTATTCATCTCCATATTTACTTCATTAATGCTAATTTGTAAAAACTCTTCATCTAATTCTTCTTTGAAATAGGGGTTAGCATCAGCATTTTCAACATTATTATTCATAGAATTTTCGAAATCTTGATCATTCACTTTAGATCTTTTTTTTAGTACTTCAGGTAGACTTTGTTAAAGGTCATGACAAAGCATTCCAAGCATTCTGGTTAAATTGAAGGACATTCTATTTTGTAATTTTGTTTTCACTAGTCCTAGACTAGAGAATAAATGTTTGACGGCTGCTATATGTGGAATGATTGCGAATACTTTTATAGCAAAATGCTGGAGAAGTGGAGAACCTCCAGAGAACTTGGTCCAGAAATTCCTAGGATTAATATTCTTAATATTTCTTAGATTATCAAAAGATGCATCACCGTTTTGATAACCAATAAGCTCTTTAAGTAAAAGTATCATTTCTCTTTTATCAAAACCCCAGGTTTTTGCCAACTCCAAGGATGCTCTAAAAATATTCAAAACAGTATATGCAGGTAAATGAATTTAGTATTTATGTATACAGAAGTACTATGGGTTATTAGATGATTTACTTGTGTAGCACAAGTAAATTGTTTAGTAACTTATGGTACCTCCTGTAATTAATATTTAGAATTTTTATCAGCAACAAAATTTAAATAAATATCTGACCTGACAACTGAGTCTTCTGACATTCATCCTGATATTGCAATATGCTTATGACTTGGTGATAAAAAAAATGCAATAAAATATATATTATCAGAAAATTCACGCATTCGTTTATCAATAGCCGCCAAGGCATGAATTTTGAACTCTTCTATTGGAATAATTGCTGCAGAAACAATACAATGAATATTAATTAGTTCTTTAAAAATGTCAGCTAATATCGCATCTCTTGATTCAAAACGACCAATAGCATTAATAATAGGAATAAGAACTTTTATTAATATGTCATTATTTGCAAAATGATAACGATTAGTGATTATTTCTTGAATTTCTGCTTTTATTTTTGGATAGTTATCATTTTTACTAAGATCAATGCATTGATTAAACCCTCCTTCGAAGGCTTTTACTTCCAAACTGACTTTTGCAAGAGAGTACCATCTAGTTTCGCAAAATATTGTGAGTGAGTGGTGTAATCCTTCTTTTTTTTGCCATTCTTGTAATGTTCGAAGCCAGATATAGGAAGACGTGAAAAAGTTAACAAGTTTTTGGTTATTTTTAATAACAGGTAACAAGGGCCGAAAGGAGGAAATATCTTTTGCGAGAAGATTTAAAGCGTGAAGATAGCAACAAATAGGAATAATATTTGGATAATTTTCTTTAAGATTATTTTTTACTCGATTCATTACGGCAGGATTATCAGTTACACATGCAATAACTGAAGAGTTTGCAGAAATAGAATTTGAACAAAGAACTCTTTCAAGTTGTTTCTTAAGGAAGGTTGCAGTAAGTCAATTTGCAGATAAATCAACAATATCTAAAACATATTCACTATCTTCTTTTAAAGCCATAAAACCATATATCGAATTCTTATATATCTTGCTATCCATCTAAAGTGACAGTTATATCAGTAAGAGATTCCATTACTTTAAGCTTTTTACTTAGGTAAGTCGAAAATGAATTGTTGAGAATTTTAATACGCAACATGCAAGCAGAGGGAGGATTGTAATTTGGTGCCAATTCGGCAAGAAATTCGAGGAAATATGGATTATCAGCGATCTTAAAGGGAAGGTTACTATAAATAATAGCATCGAGGAGTTTTTTATTTATTTTGCTTTGCTTATCCTGTGGAACTGGCTTAATGCACCAGTTTATTATACTTTCTTGGTGTTTTAATAATGGAGAGAATGAACTATCAGTAGCACTACAAAAAACTATATTAGTTTAATTAAAAAAAAAAATTACATGTTGTCATGATTACGTGCAATCATTGCATCTAAAGTAGCGACCTATTTAAAGTAGCACCTGCTAAAATTAAGCAGATCTTTATATGCATTAATTTATAATTCCGGACAGGTGACTTTAGATATCTAAAGTAGCTACTTTAAATAGGTCGCTACTTTAGATGCAACACAATTATATACATAAGAGATTCTTGATTAGAAATTAAGCTCTTGGTTTTTTTACAAGAATTAGAATTAGAACTGGCAACTTTTTTAATATAACAGTTTTTTTTACCAAAGGGCTAATTACCACATGCAATAATATGAGTATGAAGTTTTTCAGATCTTTCGGGTAGTTTAAGATTGCAATAAATACATTTAGCAATGTATCTATTTCCTGCACCTTTTTCTAAGAAACGCAAAAATTCGGTCCAGCAATTGTCATGAATCTTTATGTCAGGGCGAATAAAACCAGATGGCAATTGTGTTGATTCTGCTTCAGATACATTATCAACTGTGATTTCACCTGTTTCTGGGCTAATGGATAATTGCATTGCATGTTTTTGTGAATAAGTGATTTATTAAATAACAGTATTTTTATAATAAACTTGTAGGTTAAAGAAAAGTTTCTCAAATAGAGAAAATAATTTGATAAGTTAAGTGAATCTTTGAAACGATTATTTATATACTTTTAGACATACCTTTGAAAAATTTCATATCTTCCATATAATCTATTCCTTGTTCCTATTTTTTATGATCCAAAACTTATCTTTATGGCTGATATTATGATGGGAAGTTACCTTATTATTATGAGCCAAGTATTCATCTTTTTTAATTATTTTATTCTATTATATTTAGGAATAACTTTTCTTAGTTCACATTTGGAATATCCTTATGGCTTACTTTGAGGCTCTAGTTAAATCTATACAGTGCGGGAAAGCTAAAAACTTTGATCACTTCATATAGAATAAAAATAAACTAATGCACAGAAAATAGTTACATATTATTCTTGGCATATTAATATTTATATACAAAAAGGCTGATAATTCTAGACCTTTATGAATGATTAAGAAATTTATTCTTAATATGCTATTAGTTTATGTATTATCTCTATATTAAGAATGAAGGTTTTAAGTTTCCTGCACCATAGCTTCTAGCCATGGCTAGAGTTCCGTATGGGCTGGTCTATCCACGAATTTGGATCCAGATCCAAATGTTTATGAATAGTCTTTGCTATTTTGATCCGTATATATAGATGGGCTTGGATCTATTAACCAAATATGGATCAGATCTTAACTTCGAAATATTTAACTTAGCCCATTTATGCTGTAGCTTAAAGCTGTTTTAATTTGAGCCAAATAGTTTCATGCATGGCTGAAGCTGGCTTTAAACATTATTTTCAATATGGAAGATGAAACTAAATTGGTAACTAATATCACATGTATGATATTCATAAATTTATATTATTAAATAATAACTAACTTATAGTACTCCAATTTATTTTAAATTTGATATGCAACTAGTTTAGTATGATTCTTAAAATTAGTGTTAGCAATTTTTTGCAGCCAGATGATTTTTTTGGCCTTTGAGCGGCCAAATTAGCAATGGCGTATAGCTAAACTTCGGCCAAAAGTTTCTAACTGATATAATATTAACCAATCATATTACTAACTTTTATATATAAAATACTTGGCCATTTCAGCCAAGTAATTTTTTTGTCCAATTCGGTCATTGGCCACGGCCAAATACCAAGTGACAAAACTGCTTAAGATTATTTATTGTAATATTAATGGTATTGATTTATGTACTATTGGGTATTATGTTGGCTAATTAAAGTTGTATATTCTTGTCACCTGTTAAGTGGTATGCTGGTAGCATGCCAGGGTGGCATCCTGGCATGATTTAAGCAAATAGCATGCCATGTGGCATGCCAAATTTTTTTAGCCGTGCCATTTTTCCTAGCTTCAGTTCTCTGTGAAGAATTTAAAGATATATAAGTTCTAGCAACCAAACTTCTGAAAAATCTGCACTTATTGGCAGTTTTTGTGAATAAGTTAAAGATATTTTAAAGATATGAAAATAAAATAAAAAATAAAAATAAAATAAAAATAAAATAAAATTAAAATAAAATTAAAAATATTAAATAATATAAAAATAATATAAAATAAGATAAAAAAGAAAGTAAAGATAATATAAAAATAAAATAAAATAAAATAAAATAAAAGAAAGTAAAAAAAATAGAAAAAGTTCGAATTAATGCGAAAGAAGTGAAAAGTTTTAGAATAGATAAAAGTGTGAATATTATCAAGAAAGATGAAAGAATAAAATATTATTAGAAATGGTGAAAGAGTTAAATATAATTGGGAAAGGTAAAAATTTTAATAAAGTAAATTTGACGAAGGTGGAAAATATCGAGAAATTGGGTAAAAATTTGAAGTATCAGGAGATAAAGAGAATTAATTTTATTAAAATTATATGACTTGAAAATACGAAGAGGAAATAAAATATTTTCACGAGTTTTATATATTTTCAAAAATATTCTAATATGCTCAAAATTTAGGCCATACAAACTTAATGATTCGGTTTTCATAACCCGGCCGGGTCAAAACTTACAAATTTTTTTAAAAAAATT